TCTCTGTCTCTCTGTCTCTCTGTCTCTCTGTCTCTCTCTCTCTCTCTCTCTCTCTCTCTCTCTCTCTCTCTCTCTCTCTCTCTGGCGTTATGCCTGTAACCTTAGCCATGTAAAACGCGTGTACAGGTCGTTTCAACGTAACGAGTATAACGAATGCTTCATGGAAATACCAGTCTGTGTGCTAATGAAACGTCCAATTGCGTTTGCAGGCTATCTGAAGTATAATTTATGAAACGTGCTGTAAATTTTCATATGCATACATATACACAAAAACCCGACCCCCTTATACTGTAACAGGCTACAGCGCTTTGCAAAGTTAACGTCCGTACGATTAATTGCATAACAAGAACGAGCGCCATTTTTTTTTTTGAAACTGTACGATTTTAATGAAAGATTAATGAAGATTATTAAGTACGAAAAAAATGAAAAAAATAAATAAATTCAAAAATAACATCAAAGTCAAAATGTGTGTATGGACGCGAATGGGGGCGAAGGAGCAAGAGAGAGAGAGAGAGAGAGAGAGAGGGAGATAATAAAAAATCAAAGAGAGAAAAGAATAAAGCAAAAGTCTCTCTGATAGATGGCCGTGGGGAATCCCAAAGTTTTTCGAGCCCTTATTTGCTAGGGGTGGACGGGACGGATTGAATGCGGAAGGACTAGGGGTGAGTATCAAGGATATATAGTATCCATATGCTATATATACATACAGGGGTGGCCTGGGTATATAGGTAGATCGGAAAAAAGAAAACCGACGTCGTACCGACCCCCGAAGAAACGAATCTTGATTAATGGTGCAAGTTTCCATCTCCGTCAACCTTCTTCGCCTCCTTTTACCCAGGACTCAGTCTCGCGTAGAATTTATAATGGTGAGATACATTAACATTCAAGCGTCTCTCTCTCGCGACGCCTCGCGACGCCTGTACAGTAGTTAGGACATAGGTACTAGACGTCTTACGAATTTTATGTAATATTTGAAGAATTTTTCATGGAAAATGAAATTCTTCCCCATTCTTATGAAGAATTTTTCATGGAAAAAGGGAAATTAGTAGAAAAATAATATGGGGGGGGGGGAATTAATTAATACCTGTCGAAATTAATAATCACATTAATTAGCATGTTCGATCGGTCAATAAAGGTTGAACTGGCATTCAGGACGAATCTCTTGATAATTTTGGTGTATCAGGTAAACCGTGAAATATTCTTATGTTGTTATCAATTAAATTGATATAATAAAATAATTGAGAAATTTTTTTTTTTTCAGAGATTGGGTAATTATAATTGTCATTTTCTTAGAGATAAGCAATTTGTACCTAACTGTAATTCGTTCTTTTCTTTATTTTCCTACCAATAAAGCAGTTTCTAAAGCGTCTTTGCAGAAACAAGATAAGCCGCCACGAATACATCGTCCAGAAACGTTAGAGTGAATTAGCCGTGAAAAAAATCTTTTAAAAGATCCATCTTGTCACCTTTGACCCTAAATACTGATATGAATAATCAGTAATTCTAAATGATGCTGTATAGTCTTTTAAGATGAAGGAATAAAATTGTGCGATGGCTAAGAGAAGGATTCCACTCAAGGGCTTCGTAGATACTTGACGCTATTTGATACGACGAGATAATCCCACATGGGGAGTAGGAGGGGCGGGATTGGTCCAGGAGGGGTTTGAGAGGCGGATGTCAAGGAAATTGACGATAACCTGCAGTATCCAATCTCGAGCGGATCGTATATCGCAGGCTTCGATATAAATCGGTACTGGTATACTGGACCGTGGTACATATACATACCGTGAAGATGTATAGATGAGATAAACGTAAGGGATGCTGCGAGCCGGAAGGTAGAAAAAAGCAAGTAGATATAGGATAGGAATATGTGCTATAGGCATTAGTATATATATACACAGTAAAACCTATATGTATATAAACGTACATATAGGGACGTGAAATCGTAGGGGATGAAGAATCTATAGGGAAGCAGAAACGAAGCTCGCGAATTCTGAGGGACGTCGGGACGCCTTGTTTGCCGAAGAAATGGCCGTCGTCAAAGAGAAGGCAGGGTCCATTTGACGGTAATGATCGTGGATGTAATTTTAGCCCAGACGACGCCCGGCGTCGGAGGTGTGTGTAGGGGGTGGGAGGACGTCCCTGGATGTTTAGGACGCCCGGAGTATAATCGGACGAGAAATGACGTCGGTCGTTATTACCATTAAAAAAATCGATCCTAATTTTTTTGCAAAAGCGTCGCGACGCTATTTCTCGAAATTTATTCAATTTGAAAAAATTTTTATTGCTTCGTTAATGGAAATCCTCGATATTGACTCGATGGCAATAAATTTTTTTACATCTCGGCCAATGACAATTGAACTCGGCAGGGGTAGGCTTTTAACCCTTTCGCTACGGACGCCGACCATAGTCGGCGGCCGCGAGACCACCTACCCTGACTTCGTTGGTAGCACAGAATCTAGTACTTTGTTAATATGTAAATTTCTGAATACCCACAATATGCTCATTTTTATGTTTTTCTATATAATATGACGAAACAGTTACATAACTCTTGAAAAAGTTATATATAAGACAATTCCAAAGTGCCACTGAAAGACGTGAGCGCAGTGCCCCGTTTCAGTGGCGCCACTCCTGCGGAACGTACTGCCGTAGCGAAAGGGTTAATAATAATTATATTAATTAATAAAAAAATCTTTTTCATTCACCTTGTAATTGCCCACGGCGTGCGCGCCGTCGTAGATGTACAGATGATCGTTGCAATCGAGTTGCAGCCGATCGAATCGCAGCATAAATCGTTGGAGGATGCTGTGCGTTTGAAAGATTATTATGCAATCGAGATTTCTCTCGTTCTGCGACGTCAGAACGGCGCCGTCTATCTTCCTGTACAAGTCCTGCATATAGTTCGTCTTGCAGACGCTGCTCATTTGATCTGTAACAAACGATAGCACGTATCACATGAAATCCCAAAAATTAGCCCTGTATAAATTGGACTAGCGCACTGAAAAAATTTTTTTTTAATTTTCCCCCAAAAAAAAAAAATCACACTAAAATATCCTATCCACGCATTCAATGCATAAACACGTACTTGTCCATTGGTATCTATTTATCCGATTAAGGGTTGTAAAATTCCAGGTCCGAATGGAGCCATAAATCAGGAGGATAGCCCACGCGGGCAACGGTACAGCAAGATAGTACAAAGACGTATCACCGCTATAGAAACACAGCCCGGACTGAAAGGGGATGAATATACCGGGCAAAGGCAGAAGGGATGAAAGGGAAGAAAAAAAAACAAATTCCATACAGTAAATACCATTAAAATGAGATTAGCGTGCGATCGATCAAAATCGAAGAGACCGAAGTGGGCTCGAGAGGGTTGATAAGAAAAATAATCGAACCCAAGGGTAGTCGGTCGATTATATATAAAATAACGATAACTCAGCAATAAGACGTCGATTAATTTCTAAGCATCCCTTGGACACCGTAAAATCCGTAATGGTCTGAATAATAAATAACGTCGATTGCTCGGAGCGTCGATAAGGAGTGGTGATTGAACGTAAAAACAAGTAAATTTCACGTAGATTCGGACGAACGTACGTAAACGTAGAATATGTATTTTCCATACGTGATTTCCACCCCATGAAAATGGCATATGTCTCCAAGCATGGCGGCCACGACCAATGAGCTTTATGCGTACGTATTAAACCCTTTCATAAAGTCAACGCGAACCCCGCGTATCTAACTTGCCTACGGTCGCCTATGTATACCTATAGTATACTCCCAGAAATTCGAACCCAAGAGTAGTCGGCCGATCATATATAAAATAACGATAACTCAGCAATGAAATCTCGATTAATCTCTAAGCATCCCAATCTTAATGGCCTGAATAATAAATACGTCGATTGCTCGGAGCGTCGATAAGGAGTGGTGATTGAACGTAAAAACAAGTAAATTTCACGTAGATTCGGACGAACGTACGTAAACGTAGAATATGTATTTTCCATACGTGATTTCCACCCCATGAAAATGGCATATGTCTCCAAGCATGGCGGCCACGACCAATGAGCTTTATGCGTACGTATTAACCCCTTTCATAAAGTCAACGCGAACCCCGCGTATCTAACCTGCCTACGGTCGCCTATGTATACCTATAGTATACTCCCAGAAATTCGAACCCAAGAGTAGTCGGCCGATCATATATAAAATAACGATAACTCAGCAATGAAATCTCGATTAATCTCTAAGCATCCCAATCTTAATGGCCTGAATAATAAATACGTCGATTGCTCGGAGCGTCGATAAGGAGTGGTGATTGAACGTAAAAACAAGTAAATTTCACGTAGATTCGGACGAACGTACGTAAACGTAGAATATGTATTTTCCATACGTGATTTCCACCCCTTGAAAATGGCATATGTCTCCAAGCATGGCGGCCACGGCCGATGAGCTTTTTGCGTACGTATTAAACCCTTTCATAAAGTCAACGCGAACCCCGCGTATCTAACCTGCCTACTGTCGCCTATGTATACCTATAGTATACTCCCAGAAATTCAAGTAACATACGTATATATCCAATGCCGTACTACCATAGTGCCATTGCCACTGTTACCACTAGCATAGATGCTGGTACCGCTGGTAACTATAGTACCGGATGCTTTTTGTAGACACTGCAGCAAGCACCCCCAACACGGCCAGAGTGCAGAGTAGCGTACGCTCAGCATCCGGAGCCAGAGGGTTGAGCCAGAAAAACGTGACCTCCCTTAAATAATGCATTACACCGTGTTCCCTGCATGCTAAATGCAGGACTGGCTTTGTTGGCCAGAGACGCCGTGCCCTTCTTATGGTGATTATCCCTGCTGCGATTATCCTTGGTTTTCTTTTATTTTCAAATTTTTTTTTGAATTTTTTATTACCATCCCCTTAACCCTCAAGGTGGATGCCGCGCGTGGTGCATTCTTGATACTTTGTATGGAAACGAATAGGGGGTTGAAATGCCTATGGGGTTGTTTTGAACGATTCCATTAGATCGATTGTATTTTTATATCATTCGATCCACCGATATCTCGTCGATTTATCTTGCCGAGATAACGGGCACTGTATACTGTCTGCTGATTAGGTTCAGTCTGCCGCTTCCGAAGGGACGAACGGATGCAAGGAGAACGAGGAAACGGCAAGGGGATCAATGTATCCTATCTGTTCGGCGAGGGATTCTCGATACGGGGCCTTAAGTCCCTAAGGATGACGGGGGACGAAGAAAACGAGAACTTAATCGTGTCTGTTTATCGTATTGGCAACCCTGGGGACGGGCATTTCTGTTACCAAACAGCAACGGAAATCATATGGCCGAACTCGATCTCAAAGTTTTATTCGCTCTGGAAGCTCGATTGTCCAGTGGCAGCTGTTTGTACAAGGATTGGCAAAGGGTGATAGGACGAACTAGCAGGAGCGTACTAAAGAAAACGGCAGGAAGGTGCTCGGTGAATTGGGATAGAATTTCGTGAAAACTTTTACGGAAATTTTCAAACTCTTGCAGTACTGGAAACATTGCGAAAGTCCGTGTACACTGATATACATATATATATACCAGTAGCAAAAGAGAAATTGAAAATATCGTATTTTCCAACCTTAGAAAATTGTCACGTGCAATTTCAACCCCTATATATATATATATATATATATATATATATATACAGCTAAGTAACTACATACGTGACCAGTTACTGACCCCCTAGACTAGTGACAGTAATAGATAATTATTACGAACTAGTAGCAATAAAGATTGGATGAATAAAACTGGACAAAGCAAGCAAGATCAACCGTAATAAAAATAATGATAACAATACCGGCGATAAATGAAATTAATTTTTTCTACACGATCTTCAGTCCAATCGAACCGCCATATACTCCGGAGATAGTCTTAACGAATAAAAATTTAATGTAATCTGTGCCAGGACGAAGAAAAGAAAAAAGAAAACAAAAGGTGACGTCCAAATTGACCAAATTGAAAGTCCGCCTTTGAGCTTCGCCAGGAATGTTATTACAGGCGGCATAGTTACAATCCCCTCCAAAAAAAGGGACTGAGGACTTCCTTTTTGGCCTAGGGCCGTAGCAAGCCCTTTGCCCTTACACCCCTCTCAGCCAATCCCTCTGGCTCCACCCCCCCTTCCCAATTTACCCTTCCCACTCACAGAGCTCACTCTCCGACTCTCTCGCCGATGTAAGCTCCTCGCGATCAATATTACTCTCTTCGAGCACTCCGGTTCGCCGTCGAACACGGCACGCTATACCGAAACGGCCATTCAGGAGTGTTAGAATTCAAGAGTGCAGATACAGTCGTCACAGTCCGTGGGAATAAGGCTCTAGGTCTGCCATTTTGTACGGTGATGAAAAAAAAAATTTTTTTTTTTTTTAAAATTATTTTTAATTTCATCCTCTACTTACAATTTTCGCTTTTGGCACATGTCCATCCTGAGCACAGGCACAGCGTAAGGCCCAACAAGGCCCAACGACAGGCCGTTATGCCGGAACCACATGCTGGCATTACCCACTCTGGACTACTCCTTAACGAGGGACTACGTTATTGTCAATTTACATTAAGCACTGTCACTTTTTACACGTCGCATCCGTTCGACGTACATTGCTCGCACGACGCTGCCTCGCGCGCTACTAAAGCCCTACGTTCAACGACGGGATCCACGACTCGTCCAGTGCGCAAACGTACTACGAATGGGGTGGCTTTACTAGAGGGTGCTTTCTGAGAGGGTGTATGGTAGTAGACATCGCTATACAGATATAGTACGGTACTCTAGTAACTATGTATACAGTGTTGCCCACGTTTTCTTGGACCCGCTGAATATACATATATATATCCGAGTTTCTCGATATTCTTATCTGCAAGTACTTTCTTAGGGGTTGGGAAGTAGGATACCACCCCTATACCCATTGTAAAAGTCCACAGTGTGGATATCCGCATGAAATGGTAAGAACGTAAGGGGTGACTTTTTCGAATTAGCAAACGTGACTGCCGTTGCCTCTGGGCTGGGGTGTAGCAGGGTAGTTACCACCACCCCCCCCCCCCCCA